GGCCCTCCTGGCACACACGCTCGGAAAAATGAGGTCGTCTGCGATGATGGGCGAGCGATGAAATACGATTATACAAGCCCAATCGGTTTCGGTCGTAAGTACATCCCACACAGTCAGTCCCAAACAAACGTTTCTGTTTGTTATGTACATCCCACATAGTCAATCCAGGGAAAACGTTTGCGTTCTTATGTACATCCCACACAGACAATCCTGGGAAAACATTTTCGTTCTTATGTACATACCACACGGTCTGCCTCTGGAGTCCACTCCACGGGGCCTGCCTTCTTCAAAATCTTGAAGAACGGCAAGGCGCGCTCGGCAGACTTGGAAATGAATCTGCTAAGCGCGGCAACACATCCAGTCAAATGCCTCACATCCTTAACCGTCTTGGATGCTTGGATTTGCTCGATAGCCTTGATCTTATCGGGGTTGTCCTCTATCCCTCGGTGGGACACAAAGAAGCCAAGCAGCTTGCCGGAGGGAACACCAAACACACACTTCTCTGGGTTCAACTTCAAGTTGATCTTGCGTAGATTAGCAAACTTTTCTTCTAAATCTTGAATGAGGGTTGACCTGTCCTTGGTCTTGACCACAATATCATCCATGTAAGCTTCAATGTTTCGGTGCAACTGTGACTCAAAATCAATCTGGACTGCCCTTGCAAATGTGGATTTGGCGCTTTTCAACCCGAAGGGCATACATACAAAGCAGTACGTGCCGCATGGAGTGATGAATGCCATCTTCTCTTCATCTTCCTTGGACATAAAGATCTGGTGGTATCCTGAGTAGGCATCCAGAAAGGAAAGCAAGTCGCACCCGGAGGTAGAATCCACAATCTGATCGATGTGTGGCAAGGGAAATGGGTCCTTTGGGAAGGCCTTGTTCAGATCAGTAAAATCTATGCATAGTCTCCATTTTCCATTAGCCTTGTGTACCACCACAAGATTGGATAACCATGTTGGATGCAGTACTCATCTAACCATACCAGCTGCCTCAAGTTTCTTGATCTCCTCGGCAATGAACTGTTGCCGCTCCAAGGCTTGCTTCCGGATCTTCTGCTTGACGGGTCGGGCATGAGGGCAGACAGGAAGGTGGTGCTCAATTACCTCCCTCGAAACACCGAGGATGTCAGATGGTTGCCAAGAAAATACATCGACATTCGCCCGCGGGAAGGCAACGCGCGCGCTTTCCTATTTGTCATCAAGGGTGGCACTAATAGTGAAGGTACCATCAGTGCCAGCCTGCCCTGTCGGGACCTTTTTCACAGCGGGTGCACCAGCCTTGGATCTTTTGCTGTCAGAACTCTCTAGCAAGTCCTCGACGGGCGCAACGTACTCCGAAGATGTACGTTTGTCGGATTCCTTGCGGGCATCCTTGCTATTTTTCTTCTTCTTTCTTTCCTTGGCAGGATCCTTAGCTTCTGCGGCATCCGCCGCGACTGCGTCCCTGTACATCTTGTCCATGCAAATGATTGCATCCTTCTCGTCGGATGGAATGGAAATGACGCCTATTGGCCCTGGCATCTTCAAGGTGTTGTAGGCATAGTGGGACGCCGCCATGAGCTTGGCCAGAGCTGGGTGATGATGACATGTACCTAGGGTAAGGTCTTAGGCCTGACCTAGACACCCTACCCAAGGACACTACCCTAAAGTCAGAGACATACAAAGTACAACAGGAAATACCGACTGAAACCACCTTGAAGTGGAATCCACTCGACGGAAGATTCCACTCGGATATCTCAATTCCACTCGACCATACAAAAACCCACTCGGTGTACAGAAGGCCTAAAGTCACCCCAGGATGGAAACGGTCAGGCATTCACTCAGTCGTCATAAAGATCATTTACTACGGGCGTTACCAGTAACGTTCAAGTTATAACTCACATTGAACCCTTGTGTAACTGAGGGCCGTGAGGGACCTGGTGCACTCTATATAAGCCACCCCTCCCCTCTGGCACAAGGTTCGCACCCCCTGTAACTTCAACACATATCCAGTCGACAAGCCACGGCGGCACCGAGACAAAGGGCTTTTACCTCCTCTGAGAGGGGCCTGAACTCGTAAACTTGTGTGTACAACCTCGCCGTAGCTAGGACAGTACCTCCTCCTACGTAACCCCTACTCTTACTACCAGACTCGTTCCCTTGACAGTTGGCGCCTACTGCGGGGCAGGCGTCTGAGCGACTTCCGGTGAGGTTGCGAATTTCGTTCTCCATCAACATGGTATCCGGCGATGGTTTGGCTCTGGGCCGCGAGATCCGTCTCGGCGTGCTCGTCTTCATCACCGACGACTCCGCCTTGCTCCAAGAAGCCCTCCTTGATGTGGGGCAGCGCACTTCCGTGCGATTTCCTATGGCGTCCTTCTGCGGCAGCCGTCGACCCAGTATCGGTCGGCTCCCACGGTATCCTCGCTCCCCGCTGGTCGCCGCCGCAAGCGATCTTTTCGTTCGCGACTCCAGCGGTGGGCATGTGGTGGCTCGCTAGTCGGCCACCCCTCAAGTCACGGCAATCGAGCCCGACGAATCTCTCTACGAATTATTCGACCCGCCGATTGGTCACTCGGACACTCTTTCCGAGTGCGAGAGAAACGACCCTGCGGCCGAAGTCCTCATGGTCAACTCCCGGCGCAACCCCCCGGATTCCATCGCGGCGGCGGTGGCGGCGACGGCGACCCGTCGCGCGATCATGATGAGTATTATCCCCAGGCCCTCACTGCGGAGCAAAGGGAGCAGCTGCATCACCGCAACGTCCAGGCGCTCCAAACCCGCATCGTTGGGGAGACCTCCGAGGCTCGAGCCCTGGAGGCTACGCGCTTAGCCACCTTGGCTGAGTGTATGCGTCTGGAGAATCTCCAGCAATCGCTCGACGAACGCGCCCATCAGCAGATCCCTGGATCCAGCCAACGGCCACGACAATTGTTTCTGACTGAACCTTGGGACAAACCTCTGGTATACCATACTCCGATCCAAAATGTCGCAGCAACAACACTCATAGCAGAGTCAATACAACCGTCACGTTTAGAAGCTGGTAGAGGTTTGCTGCAAATCTGAGCGCTGCTCTGAGCAGCAGGGGAACATAACTCGGTTGTTTCTCAGTCGACCAACAGAATCCATAGCAGATTTGTGGTTGTGGACAT